CGACGATTTTCTTGCGATACCAATACCATCCGGATGTACTCTGAACGCGTATGCTGATGACGGCTTATTACTGGTGGAATCTGATACTAGGGCGGGGCTTGAGAGATTAGCCAATAGATGTTTGAACTTGATATCTCAATGGGGTGAACGTAATCGCTTAACTTTTGCACCCAACAAAACCTTCCAGCTACTTTTAAAAGGTAACCTCAAATCACCACCGAGCATTAGATTTGACAATGTTACTGTAAAAAATAAAACTACAGTGTGTTATCTAGGATTAGTTTTAGAAAGAAACTTTTCATTTATCGAACATATTAAAATAATTAATGAAAAGTCTAAAAAGAGTTTCTGCGCATTGACAAGGATATCAACTGCGACATGGGGTCTATCTTTTAATACACTAAAGATCATATACGGAGCTACTTATTTAGGTTCTATCTGCTATAGTGCACCTTTATGGGCCGATAGGGCGACCGTAGGCGCTGTCCGTCGCAAACTGTTACAAGGCCAACGACTTGCACTGATATTCTTGTGTAAGGCATCTAGGACGGTTAGCACTGAGGCTTTGCCGGTGTTGGCGGGTGTGCTTCCGGTCGATCTCGAGGTGCAGAGACGTGCAGCCATGTACTATTCAAGACAACAAAACATGGAATGCGACTTTTTGGGCGCGCGGGATCGCGGTAAAATTACAAGATTGCTTCAACAGCAGCCCGATGTCTATAATGACCTCATAGACGAATGGCAACAACGCTGGGATGAATCATCCAAGGGGCGCCATCTTTACCAATTCTTTCCGTCTGTTCGCGAACGGTTGTCGAGGATATGGCTTGAGGTGGATCACTGTGTCGCTCAATTTCTTACGGGTCATGGTAACTTTAAGAGCAAGCTTTATTCATTTAAATTAGTCGAGTCACCGTTGTGTCAATGCTCAACACCTAACTCTCACTATGAACAGTCTGCTCATCATATCCTCTGGGAATGTAGTCTTTGGTATAATGAACGTAATATAATGCTGAATAGCTTGCAGGTGACATCTGGGGCGGTATACTATGGGGATCTTGTGTCAACTAGGGTGAATTTCCGTGCGTTTAGGCGATTCTGCCATACATATTATAGAAATCAAACATAGCTCACGTAGGACCCGTAATATTTGTGGCCGTGGTGCTTCCCTGTTTTAAAAGGGTGTATGCCCATTTTACTTCATTTTGTCTCCCGCTTTGCTAAGGAGGGAAGTGGATTTACTGTATTTCCAACTCCTCCAATTTTCTTCTGATTAATTTCGTTGCGGGTTCCAAGACAGTTTAATTTCTTCCTGGGACTTCCCGAGTGTCATAACTCGGTGTGTTCGTGGGTCACTGCTGTGGATCCTGGTGTACAGGAGTTACAGTGGTGGGCGTGTGGGTGGGATTAGTCCCTAAAAAAAAAAAGTTATCCCCCAGGCTTTTGAGTGCCACCGGGGCACTCTCGCGGCTCTTGCCCAACTTGGGGGGGCCCAATGCATCCTGCCGAAAGCTGTATACGGGGATCGTACGGTCTATAGCACTCTCCGGATCACCAGTATGGGCAAACACTCTGACGGCCCGAAATATCACGATCTTGCGAAGGCCGCAACGTGTGATGGCTATCAGAGTGATAAGAGGGTACCGTACGATCTCCTTCGAGGCGGCCAGCCTATTTGCCGGATCCGCACCCTGGGATCTAGATGCAGTACTCCTTGCGATACAGTATCGGTGGTGCAGGGATGCTCTAGATCGGGTGAACTACCAGTGCCTCGAGAAGTAGAGGCATACCGGGCAGAGCTCCACCAGATCTTGGTGGCGGAGTGGGACAAACGGCTTGCGCGGCCCAGTGCGGGGCACGCCGCAATAGCGGCGGTAAGACCCGTCCTACGAGAGTGGCTGGAGAGGAAACACGGAGCTCTCACCTTCCGGATGACACAGGTGCTTTCCGGACATGGTTGCTTCGGCAAGTACTTGTGTCGGATCGGCCGGGAGCCGACGTCACGGTGCCATCACTGTGACGACTGTCCTGACGACACATCGCTGCACACGCTGGCGGAATGCTCATCTTGGGCTAGCCAGCGTCGTGATCTTATCGCGGCAGTCAGTTCTGCGGGTGGCCTCTCGCTTCCGATCTTGGTTTTATCCATGGTCCGCACCGAGAGTGCATGGAGCGCCTTCGCTTCCTTTTGCGAACATGTGATGTCCGCAAAGGAAGCGGCAGGACGGAAGAGAGAACGCAACATCGCGCCGGAGGGCACTTGTCGATCTCCGGCCACCTTAGGAAGTGGCCTGCGGGCGACGACTTCGGGGAATTCGTCGTCTGAACAGATACGGAAAACCTTTCATACCGGCTGACGCAGGTGATCAACGGGAAAGGTTGTTTCGGAGATCACCTGTGTCTGATCGGCAAGGAGCCAACGCCTGAGTGCCACCACTGCGATGGCCGGACCGTGTACACGGCCCTCCACACGTTGGCAGAATGCCCGGCGTGGGTGGAGTAGAGGCGTGACCTCGTGGTGGCCATCGGAGTGGGAGGCCTCTCGCTCGCTTGTATGATTGATGCCATGGTACGGAGCGAGAGTGCGTGGAACTCCGCCGTCTCCTTCTGCGAGCAAGTTATGCTTGCGAAGGAGATGGTGGAGCGGGACCGGAAGAGGTTTAGAACTCTCCCGGCCCGCCAGGCTCGGGAACGGGCCAGGTACCGCAGACAACTCGGACGCTGGAGGTCGCAGAACGACCTCCGTCCTCCGTAGGCGCAGGCCTGGGGGTGACAGGTGAGGCCATCTGTCACCCTTGCAGAAGCAGGCCGGGGTGGCGGCGAGACGCGCTGCGGAGCGCGCGTGCCCAAAAGGGGAGAGAGGAGCACCAAGGGAACATGGGGGTTCCCACAGAGGAGGGGGTCATCTACCCGCCGTAGATGCCCCGGGGTACGTCGGGGTACCAGGGATTTCCTATCTAGGGTACCTGGTTCCCCGGCTACTGGTACCCGAGACGGCGTGCGGGTTTTAGTCGGCTCGAGTCCGACATAGCCACCGGTAGGCGGTATCCGAGGGGATTTCCACACGGAAAAAAAAAGGTGGAAATTTTTGTAAAAGCAATTTCTGCATGAGATTTTACTGACTTCCATGATGAAAGACGTATGATTAGCGCAGTATCATTAATAGATTTTTCTATGTCTAAAAATACGGTAGTGTCTTATGCCACGTACTTACTAAGGCGTGTACTTGTAGATACTTTTTACATATACTACAGTCGTCACAAAATAAGAAGCCCGTTTTGACATTTGTCATGGTGGCGTAACTAGTGGTTAACCATACGACTCGGTGGACGATACTTACGACAAATCGATTCAAGCTTGTAGAGTATTTGATTGATTTGACTATACATACTGAAGCCTATGTATGTGACTTACTCGTTACATTTTTAGGCTTTAATGAGGAAATAATCATCATTAATGACTAAAACCCCAAAAATAAATTATAGAGATACTGTCTGACAGTTCTGGCAGGTAAATTGGGGAGAGGCTCAATGAGATTACCTACCACAATATCCGATTCTTAAGAGCCCGACATTACTTTGTATTGACAAATCGATTACAGTTTTACAGACTCTATGTATGTTACTGTAAATGCAAAAGACAAATCAAGATCGGTAAAAACAATTGAACTCACTTAAGTAAAGACAAATATATAACACATATGTTACTGAAGCTAGCTTCAGTAACATATGAGTGAAAACAATAGGAATATTAATCGGTAAAACAGGTCGTATATACACCTTGTTACAGTATCAACACATACATATAACAAAAAAACAGTTGTCATTAGTGCAGACTTGTATGGCGCGTATCGTAAATAGTAAAACACATCTGGATTGAAATGGTAGGTTATTAATAAGTTCGATAATTTGTTCGTTTTACTGATTATTCATATACAAGTGAATGTGAAGTCGCAACACCAAACAAAAACAAACCAAAATGTTTTATTTCGTTACCAAAAATGTGTAAAACAATATTCGTGATTGGAGCTTCCCTTTAAGCAAATAATGCCCAATATTAGGAGACTTCGCTCTTCCAGAGCATGCTTGTTACAGAGTTGGTATACGATTGTATTCAATTGATTCTCACAACTTACTTAAATTAATCAATCGTAGCGATATTTACAAGTCAAGGAGCACAAAAAGGAATTCCACTTCGACTTTTGGTTACCTTTTTTTGACAAATTATGTCAAAACTAGTGAATACTAGTGATGCCGATCGATAGGCTACTATCGATGGACTATCGATAGTTCGTGACAGACACTAAATAAACCTGTGCAACTATGTGGCGTGTATAAAAATCTCATTGGTTATATTGATATTAAACCTTATTCAATACTATGGAAAAATAAACAAGTATTGATAGTATCGATACTCTTGATAATAAAGTTGTCAGGGACGAAAATAGTATCGATAGCATAGCGACTATCAAGTATTAATATTATCGATACTATTGTAAATTATCAATAGTATTACCACATTTTGTACAATCTATTTCCTGATTTTCAAGGTCAACTATCGATAGTTCGGCATCACTAGTCAAAACCTCAAATGAAAACTGTTTCAAGATGGCGATTAGTGAGCAGATCTTTAAAAAAACAACATAGGTATTTAAACACTTGTGAATATATAAAAAGAGACAGATAGATAGATAGAGATATAGATATTGGCATAGCCATTCTGTCTGTACCTCATCTCTCCTTCCCCGGAGTAATATGTCCGAAATTGAAGCTATCAAAGATCTAAATATCAACGCTACTGTAGAAAGTTAAGTTTTAGTAATTGAAATATGTATATAATATAAAATTCTAAAAAGGACTGAAATTACTTACTGAATAGGTACTCTTTATTGCACACCGAAAAAAAGTATTGTATACTCTAAGACGTTTCTTTTTTTTAGCTTTATTAGTCCCTAAGGTAAGGTAGGTCAATAATTTTAACAATAGTTATTGCTTCCACAGTGCTGATCGGGGCGTCAGTGAGCAGTATTTATTTGATTTTACAAAAAATGACGAAGTTGACGCTTGGCAAGAACAATCTGATACAGTGCGAGATGTTGGAATGTCCCAAAGCAGTATTGGTTATTCACAAAAAATATGGGCTTTCGAAGAGCAATATTTTTCGCCCTCTTGAATCCGCAACTTAATGGAGCCGGGTTCGCCGGAATACGAGCTATAAGGTCATACGATTTAACGGGTTACACAAAACTTCAAATCATGTGTAGAGGTCAGGGGCAAAATAACGGATTTAAAGTAATTTTGAGGCATAAAGGATTGAACGACGAGCCCAATTATTCATTTGAGCAATATTTTCAGGTAACAATAATAAATTACATAAGTTGTAACTATTTCACTAAAAAATATTGCTTTTCTAATTAGTATGATGAATAAATATTTAAGTAATTAGACATAAATGTTATTACGTACATACTGTATATTTCTAAGTAAGTAGGTACCTGTTTCTTGCAGTAAATCTAAAGTAACAACTTGTTTTCAGGCTCCCAAGGACGAATTTGCTATATGCAATCTTAAATTTTCCGAATTTAAAGCCTACTACAGAGGAAAAAGAGTCAACAATAACGAAACTTTGGATTTGTCTCAAATTACAAGTCTTGGTATACAAATGTATGGTGGGGTCTATCAACCAGTCAAGCAGAAGGGACCTGCAACTTTAGAAATCGATTGGATAAAAGCTGTTTAAAGAAATTCTTTGTACATTTGCAGATAAAGTAACGTTTATTTTAGGTAATAAATATTTTTAGGAAGAATGAAATGTTGGTTTACATTAAAAAATAATTAATATCATGTCAGCCCCGGGGAACTTTTTTCGAATCGAAGGCTTTTGTTATGTTTAAGCAAACTGCACAAGCTCCCTTGGTCTCGATCGCCTGTGCCCACTGGTGAGTTATATACAAGAAGATTAACACCGACCCCGACGAAAACAGTATTGTCGGTCATTAAGTAGCTGGTGATGTAAGTACTGGAGGAGTTTGTTATAGAATTAATTATGGATTTCATAATTTTGGAGAACAAGGGGGTTATGGCTATAGGACTGTAGTTGGACGGGTCCGATCGGTCACCTTATTTAGGGTTCAGGTGCACAAAACCCTTTTCCTTCCAAGGAGGGGGGGGGTGAAAAAACCAACCCGATTTTTGAAGGAGGTAAAAAAG